AAGTGATCCTCCTGCCTCAGCCTCCCAAGTAGCTGGGACTACAGGCATGCGCCACCATGCCCAGCTAATTTTTTCTATTTTTAGTTGTTTTGCTAATTTCTTTCTATTTTTAGTAGAGACGGGGTCTCACTCTTGCTCAGGTTGATCTCGAACCCCTGACCTTGAGTGATCCTCCTGCCTTGGCCTCCCAGAGTGCTGGGATTACAGGCGTGAGCCACTGTGCCCGGCCGATGGTGATTTTTCAGTGATAGGTCCACCTTGAGTTCCAATGCCAGCACTGCCCCCTCATTAGCTCTGTGACCGTGCCCTTTTAATTACATAAATGGTTCAATTACAGCATCATAATCTACAAAAGTGGAGGTAATAAATATGCTAACCTCAACCCCCTAGAGTTGTTAAAAGATAAAATTCAACATACATAAGCAAGCCTTGACAGTGTTCTGCCTACAGTAGGTGCTCAATGTTTGCTGGCCTGAACTGGGAAAGTCACACTAAGATCAAGCCTGGAGCTCCCACACGTTGCTGGTGAAAGCGTGTAAAATGGTACAACCGCTGCAGAAACACAGTTTGGTGGTTTCCATAAACATTAAGCACATATCTAACATATATCCCAGCCATTCCCTCCTAGAGGTTTACCCAGAAAGAATGAAAACATATGTCCATACAAAGACTTGTACACAAGTAATCATAGCAGCTTTACCTGTAGTAGCCCCAAACTGGAAGTAACCCAAATGCGTGTTCACAGGTGAACAGGTGAACTGCGATATGTCCACACAGTAGAATACCACCCGGCAACATGGATGAACCGTGAAATAATTACGCTGAGTGAAAGAAACCAGACGTACGGTAGTATATACCGTATGATTGTATTTATTAAAAAGTAGGGAAAATACCAGCTGACCTGTAGTGTCAGGAAGCAGCCCGTCAGTTGCTTTGGGATGGGGTCGGAAATGGAGAAGGGGAGGACGGAAGGATTAGGAAGCGTCCGTTGGAAACTTTCAGGGTGGTGGACAGGTTCGCTGTTTTGAGTGGGGTGGTGGTTTCATGGGTCTGCCAAAACTTACGAAACCACACCCTTTAATTAGGTGCGATTTGTTATATGTCAGCTTTACCTCAATAATAAATGCGTAAGAAATTCAATCCCGGAGCTTCCTTCCCAAGAGGACGGCAAAATCTATCACCTTCCTTCATCCGTCTCAGACTCTCCTAAAGGCAGCAGTGGGTTAGGTGACCAGGTGATTGGGAGAATCCGGACAGTGTTTTCCTGTGCGCTGTGAGGACGGAGTCCCGGCAGGGGAAAGAGATTTAAATTTCTCAGTTCCGCCAGTCTGAAGCTATTAAATTTTTAAAGAATGGTATGGATTTCTTTCCAGAGCCACAAGACAAAGCTGTAAGACAGGGTGCCACATTTCTTGCCTGTCAAAAACTGATGTAGCAAGCACAGAAATATAAAATGCCTCATCAAAAAATTAATGCCCCAGTATTCGGGAGGCTGTTGTATCTGGGTGACAAATTTCAGAGGATGAAGAGAGATGCAAGTGTAAACCATGTGGGTTGATTTTTCTCTTTTTAAAGATGAAGCAGTGACGTTGACGTCACACTTAAATAAGAGTCAAAGTAGAATCTTGCTTTTTTTTTTTTTTTTATAGAAAATCTACACTGGTTTTGCCAGGATTAACAATGACAAATAGTAAATTCCAGGAAAGAGAACATGAATTTCAGGGCCAGACTAAAGGACTAGATTAAATGGACGAAGACCCCAATACCCAGGATCAGAAAGAAAGAGTTTGCACTAAGCACTAAAAGATGTGATTTGTCTCAGTCTTGACTGGGCGCCAGAGCACGAGCCCCGCAGTTCTGAGACAGGAGCAGGAACTCTGGGCTGTGTCGCTGCTTGTTGCCAGGTGTTTAAAAACAGAGACGTTGTGCATTTGAGATCTTATCGTTACTTAAGATTGTAAGATTGTTTTTTTAATTTAAAAAGACTCTGGAAAAAATTGACGTGATTTTTTTCTACATCACGTCACTAAAGGATGCCGTTTTTCTAGGTCATTTATGATTTGACGTGGAGTGCTTGCTCGAGCCCCAAAGTCATGCACTGAGTACTGTTACCGCCTGGCTGGCTGAAGGGGTCTGTGGGAAGCTAGAATCATGTGTGGACCTGGGAGGTGACAGGGACTTAAAAGAACATCCAACGGAATCACGGAGGCCAGGATGGCCCGCGTCACAGGAATACACATCGCGTGTTTCTCCATCACAGAAACAAGGCTGTGTGTAACTCCAGCGTTCAAAAGCTAAACCGTCACACAATAGTAAAAATTAGGGCAGGTTTTCAGACAGGCCTATGAGGCTAGGGGGGAATGTGACACTTCAGGGAGGAAGGCGTGGAGAATAAGGCAGTGACCCTCCATGTCACAGATACTAGCTGCATACACGAACCCCAGGAGAAGAGAGAGGAGCATTTATTGAGCGCCTGCTGTTGACCTGGCCCAGTAGAAGCCTCAGTAATTAACATGGGCTCCCGCGGAACACACGCGGTGGTGGGAAAACCCACAGACAGCTCCAGCACAGGTCCTCACGCGCAGGACAGAAACGCTGCAAGAAAAACACGAGGGACTGTGTCTGGCGAGAGCGTGGCGTTTCCCCAGCTTGGATGCACGGCTGGCGTTTGGACCTCCCTCGGCTGTTCCTCTCTCCCGCTCGCTAGGTGTCCGGATCAGCTCCTTCACTCAAGCCGACCTGACTTCCCGGAACGTGCAGTATGTCCACTCCAGCGAGACCGAGAAACACGCGGACGCCTTCGGCTTCACCCTGTCTGACGGAGTCAGTGAGGTAGGACAGGAAGCGGATTCCATCCCTGAATGGCCGTTGACGCCTCGCTGTCTTCCCCGAACGGGGTGGGCAGAGCCGCTGAGGATACGGGGGCTGGGTCTCCTCCGCTCTGGGCCGGGGTCGGCACAGCGGGGCTCTCGCCCAGGGGCACTGCTTCTGGGCTCCTGGTCTGCCGGCAGCTCCGGGAATGGTGTGAAGGGACAGTATCGCAGACGGCACCCGCCTCCTGCTTGCCGGGCAGGTGCTGGGGCAGGAACGTCCCACCTGCGCTCTTCTGCCATCCTAGGTGACTCAGACGTTCCGCATCACAATTCAGCCCGTGGATGACTCGCTGCCCGTCGTACAGCGCGCAGGCCTGCGGGTGCAGGAGGGCGTGAGGAAGACCCTCACGGAGTTCGAGCTCAAGGCGGTGGACGCGGACACTGAGGTGGGAGCACCCCCTGGGGTCCGCGGCTGTCCTGGCGGCGGCCGTTGCTTGGTGGCTGCGCGTCGCAGGGCGGGGAGGAGTGGCGGGCTTGGCGCGGGCTTCCTTGAAGGCTTAAAGCACAGAAGATACCAGGCCTTCTGGAAAAGAGAAACTAATGCGTTTGAGATCAGATTGTTTCCAAGCCCTTTCTGAAACCTAAACGCATCCATCCTTTCCTCTCCCCGATTGTACGTAGCAGTCACTTTATCAGGCTGGTTTTTAGTGTGATTCACAATCAGGCAGATCACATTTACCCGACGTTCTCATTATTTCTCGTCAGAGTGAACGAGGCTTCTCCGCACTCACACCTTGTCCTCACTTGGCCCTTCATCCGCGTTTCTCGGATGGCAACCAATGATTATAGTTTGAGCCTCCGCAAAGACCAGGCTTTCCAGAGCGAAGCAGGCGTGTGGAGACCCAGCTCTCATCCTCACGCTGCCTCGTTAAAGCGTCACGCGTTCTGGCGTGACTTAGCTCCCATAAAAGCACAACACGCTTATTAATTAGCTCTCTGTCTCCCCTTCTCTGTGCCACACGTGTTCATTTAAGTGTTCCTTCTTTCATCAAATATTAATACGTCCTGGGTTCCAGGCTCTGCTCTGTGTGCTAAAGACAAGCTGCGAACAAAACAGATAAAGTTCCAGGTCTAGAGAGTTTGCGGCCTTTGGCTGGGGGAAAAGACAATAGAGACAGAAAGAACCCCTCACGTCAGGCGTAAGTGCCGTGAAGTAAAGTGAGGTGTCGGGGAGAGATTGGCGGGTGTGCTGTTTTAGACAGAGTGGTTGGGAACGGCCTCTCTGAGGAGGTCGTACTTGAGCAGCGATATCTTTAGGCAAACGAGCTGTGTGGTTATCTGGGAGAATTCCCTGTCCGGCCAGAAGGACCAAAGTGCGAAGGTGCCCAAGTGTGCTTAGACCCTGGGAGTAACCGCAACAAAGGCTGCAGGAGGCCCAGAGGCAAGAACCCAGTAAAAAAGCAGGAGAGAAGGGAGCCAGAGAGGAACACGGGGACCAACTCACGCAGGGCGTTGGTGGCCCACACCAGGCCCTGGCGTCTTATTCTAAGGTGGTGGGAAAACCTTTGGAAAGTTCTGAGCAGGGTTTATGCCTCTTTCTTTTCCCTTCTAGAGATTACATTAGAAGCAGCAATTAAAAACAAGAAATTAGCTTCTGGTCTGATGCATATGGGATTCTGCATATAAGAGTTTCAGAAAAGTGAGAGAAAATGGATGGGAAGGAAATAAATAGTTTTAAATAAATGTCTGTTTCCTGTCAGCTTCATAATGGTTAAAAATTCCAGCTTTCTACTGGGCACAGTGGTGTGTGCCTGTCATCCCAGCTCTTATACTTGGGAGGCTGAGGCAGGAGGATTGCTGGAGCCCAGGAGTTTAAGACCAGCCTGGACAATATGGCAAGACCCCATCTCAAAAAAAAAAAAAATCTAGGCTTTCCCTCATGACCTGAAGAAAACAAAATTAAACGTTTTTGTCTATGACTGAAGGTACCAGAATGTAAGTCCAACTGTAGTAAACAGTATAGTTTTTCTCTTTAGCTTCATTTTTGGTATCTATAGAGAAGATGCCTTGTTTTGTAAACGTCTTAGGTTCTGCTGCCCTTGACCATCCCTCGCTCGTCTGGTTTCTGTTATGAACATCCCGGCCCCTCCGGCTTTTCCCCCCCGCACAGGCCGAGTCCGTCACGTTCACCGTCGTGCAGCCGCCGCGCCATGGCTCCATCGAGCGGACCACCGACGGGCAGCGTTTCCGCCCTGCCCCCACCTTCACCATGGACGACGTCTACCAGAAGCGGGTCAGCTACAGCCACGGCGGCGGCAGCTCCCACGGAGACTGGTTCACCTTCACGGTCTCCGACGGGACGAACCCCTTCTTCATCATCGAGGAAGGCGGGAAGGAGGTGAGGGGGAGGCCGTGCACGCCGGGGGCAGAACACGGGTTTTCACATCCAGCACAGCATGGTTTGAGTCCTTGTTTTATCACTTTCTAGTAGATCGGTCTGGGGCAAATTACTTTTCTAAGCCTCAGTTTTTCAGCTGTTAAATGGGCGCAGTAATAATCATCGGCTTCAAATAGTTAAAGGATCGAAGGAGGTTGATCCGCATAAAGTACTCCCACGGTTGGCAAATAGCGAGCACTCGGTAAAAGGGGTAGCTGTTAATGGTACTGTTACTTCTTTTTTCTCTTTTGTCTGCCCTTTACTCCTTGAATTTTTCTTTCATCTGATTTTGAAATAATATCCTAGGGCTCTAGAGTGTCTTTCTCTTTTTGGACTAAGTCCCCTCCGTCCAACCGGAGCTTCTCGCACTGGCTGAGAGTGTGGCTTTCACGTCCGGAAGCTACCGACTCGATTCTGGCCCTGGCACGTCTGTGTAAATCCTTTAAACTCTCTAAACCTCGGCCTCGTCGTCTGTTCAACAGGGGCGTTGCTACCCCCGGTGCACACAGAGCGTTTAGCCCAGCGCCTGGCAGACAGGGAACGCCAGGTAAACCTCGGCTGTGGTCCCTGTCATCATCGTCCTTTCGGGACCCGCTGGCAAAACTGGTGAACCTGCTAAGACGCTTCCTTCCTGAGGCCCCGCAAGGGCGGAGCTTTACTTCCTAAAGGAATCGCCGTCTTCTAACATCCAGGCGTCCAGAAGAAGCTTAAATTCTCCTTCCAGTACCTTCCCCACCGTTTTTGCTCCTTCCTTCGTGTGTTAGCCGGGTCTCCCGCAGGGCCGCAAACCTCTCCTGGGAAAAACGGCCGCTCTGGTGACAGGTGGGCCCGGGGGCGCCGCGTCCCACGCGTCTGTGTCCGGCTGTGCGGAGCAGTTTCCGTGAGCGACGTGCCCACGCCCTGCCGTGCCTGCAGGGCAACAAGGGGACCCGCTTGTCAGGCCCGCAGCGTCCCTGTCCTGCTCGGATGCGGAAGGATCATTTTCCGGGATGATAAGCCTTCTGCATCCTTCAGCAGCAGGCAGCCTGTGAGAAGGTCATTCTCGGCCGGCCGGCGCGTCCGTGGGGCAGCTCTTGCGGTTTCCCCGCCGTCGCGGTTTCCGCAATGCTTCACCGCCTGGCAGGCCGTCACTTTGGTTTTTTCCTCTCCCCAACTGTAGCTGCTCCCCAGTTAGTTTGACTTTCCAAAGAGAAAAAAAATCCAGGATGTCTCAGCAAGAGGGAAGGCCACCTCTTCTATAAACATAAAAGGGCACAGCCCGTCTCCGAGGGTCCGCGTCTTTTGAAAAATGGAAATGACTGGGAAGGTGGGTTGTAGGAGAGGGAAGGCCAGTGTCTGCTGCCCGGTGTTCTGGCTGGTGGCGTCCGCTCAGGGGCAGCCGGGTGCTGGGTGCGACCGACCACGCGTGTTGCACGTGTGTGTGTGTGAGGATGGGATTATAAACCATACTTCCTTTTAACGACTACCACATGCTCTGCTATTGATTTCTTCTGCCCCGTCCCTCAGACGGATAGCGCTCCCTTAAAACAGTCGACAACAGCGAAAACAGGATGAGGAAGGAAAAAGGGAAAATCTCTTCCCACGAAAACCTCTTTCACATCTGACATCATCCCACGTGGAGATTTCTGACATTAGCATTGTAATGTTGATTTTTGTCAACCTCTCGTGAAAAGTGTAACAAGGACCGGGCGCGGTGGCCGACGCCTGTAATCCCAGCACTCTGGGAGGCCGAGGCGGGTGGATAGCTCAAGGTCAGGAGTTTGAGACCAGCTTGAACAAGAGCGAGACCCGTGTCTACTAAAAATAGAAAGAAATTAATCGGACAACTAAAAATATATAG